GAAAAAAAAATCCTCCACCAGAGAGACTGGAACAATTTACAGCAGGTGACTGGGGGAAGCAGGATTCACCAGCAGGGTGAGATAGAGACAGGAATACAGAGTGCATGGGGGTGTGTGGAGAGGTGGGAAAGGGAATATACATGGAATGGAAATGAGACAGCTTACCTACAAACACCTCAGTGCCCGTACCCACGCTGCCTAAAATACATCCTTTAGGGGCACTTCAGCACAGATTTACATTTTAAAAATGGAGCTGCTCAAAACTGGAAAAAAATACTGAAAATACCAGCACAGAGAAATAAAAATATACAAATCCAGGAGGCAGCATCAAGGCCCAAATATATACAGTCACTGATCAGTTTCTGTTTCTGGACACTTGTGCTCTCACGCTTCCATGTCTCTGCCAAGATGTCATGTGTGGTGTGTGTGGTGTGCTCAGTTGCAGCCGGGTGACAAGGTGGCTCCGATATCTTCCTTCTGAACCCCGTGCCACCCACCCACAACCACTATCACCACCACACAAACACACGTAGTGCTTCCATCACTTCTAGGAGACATTGCATCGACTTACAGTCATTTCCTGGACACTGACCCTAACCTTAAACCAACCAAGTTGTTTTGGGGACTTGTTTTTTGTTCCCATAAGGATGTGGCATCTCCACACTGTGACTATGTAAACAGATTTACATACAACATGGGCACTACCAGGTCACACACACACACACACACACACACATACACACACTCCTCTGAGAACAATGTGTCCAGTACACAGAGTGAACATTGTCGCTTGTCCTCACTCAGTTTTTTTGCTTCCCCGCTCTCAGGGTTCCCTGTCCCACCCTCTCATTCCTTTCCCACTCCCAGCCTTCGTTCCCTTTCTCCCCAGCTCTTCTCCCTCTCTTTCTGCCACCCTATCACTTCTGTCCTCCTTCCCTCTTCTCCTCATGCTCCTACCCTCACTGCCTCTATACCTGAGGCGCTTGTTCTTTTATAGCAAATTGAACCTTTCACTCTGAAAGAAATAATTACTCTCTGGAGAGAAAGGGGACTGCCGTGGAATGCTGATATGACACACAATGTCACCTTGCCACTCATGAGCTGCCTGCACACACAGCTTATAGCGAGGGGGAGGAGGATGGTAGGGAGGGAGAGAGCAGGTCAGGGAGCGGGAAGGGTGAGGAGGGTTACAGAATAAAAGTAACAGAAAAGCAAAAGAAAGAGAAAAGGCATGGGTGAGAGAAAGAGGGAATGAGAGGAAACTGTGCCTGCATGGGCAAAAGAAAACAGGAGGTGAAGGGAGTGAGACCAAAAGAAGACAGGAAAGGTATAGCAGAGAATAAACCACGGGAAACGGGGAACAGAGTCACCACAGATATAATAGGGATGAAAATGAGAGGAGACTGATTGAGACTGTATGCACTATGTGGAACTGTAAAGCAAAAGTGAAAAAAGAGGACAAGAGAGGATTCATGGTACGAAGGAGATAAGAGAGGTTACAGGGCGAAAGTGGACGAGAGAGCAAGGTGGTGTTTTGGGGTCAGAATCAGAGAACAGGAGTGAGAGATAAAGGGTGTGACGGCAAGAGCAGGAGCCCTTACTGGGGTCAAACCAAGGATGGATCCATCTTCATCCACTGGCATTTGTGAGCTGGGGGAACAGTAGCAAAGAGAACTGTGAGCCGGATCACTGCCATTTCCACTTATTACCCATCATGCCTTTCAGCAGAGCAGCCATGCGGTCATGCTCTGGTCCCTGGGAAGCTAAACGGCCCTCTGTGGGCTGAAGGGCAGAGGGGACAGACTGGGAGAATGAGAGGAAAGGACAGGGGGAGGGTTTGAGACCCTGTAATACTGACAGAGGCTCTCAGACTAATCCCATAGCTGGATCCAGACTTACTGTGAGTAAGTCCAAGCTGGATCAACTGCCAGTGTCATATTATCAATAGATACTGTACATACAACTTTTAAAAAGTAAAAATCAGGCACTAATATAAACACTGATTCCTTACATGGCTTCATATTTGTCAAACAGCAGAACACTTCACCAACTTGGAGCAACATCCTTCTTCACATCAGGTAGGTAGGTAGGACTTTACTGATCCCACAAATGAGGAAATTCCTGTGTTCCAGTGACACTGTGTGGATATAGTTGCTATGTGAACATGGAAAGATGTTCGGTAGGTGTGTTATTAGATACATGGAAATACCAGTCTCGGCTAATATACAGAAACACCGAGCTCTATTTTAAGTATTGTATACTGCTATTGTTATTACTATGTAATTACATATTATAATTACTATAGCACTGAACCATTTTCTTAAGCCACCAAACAGTTAATCCTTTGTATCTTTATCTGGAGTTATGGTCATCAAAAACGTATAAAATATAGCATATTTTACGAGGGAAAGAACAAAACATAGGCGCATGTATAATGTATACACCTATATGCACGTCTGATAACACCTAACCTCAACCACCCTCTGCTGTAGCTTCTGAAATGAGGGTTATTTTTAATATCTGCACGGGTGCCTTCTGAATAATGGGCAAATATTACTCAAGGTCACAACTCATTTGTCAGGCTGTGAGTTGGAGGAATGGCCCAGTGCACTAAAGCTAACATTCAGCTTTTATTCCACTGATAAAACCCACAACAACTTTACGAGTACATGCAGTTAAAAAATGGAAGAAAAACAGGCACTATAAGACAGAGGTATGTGGCAGAGAGTGATGGGCAGCATAGCATGTGAGAAAATCATTTGCAACGAAGGCGAGACGAGGAACAGAGCTTATGCCCATCAGCTTATTGCCTAGTGATGTTGTAACAAAATGCCAAAGGTGGCAGGAAGGAGTAGCTCTGAGGATAAATCATGTTGCCTCTGCCTCCATGACAGCTTTAGTCACAGTGACGTCCACAAAGGGGCTGCGGTGATCAAACAGGGGCTGTGATGACTTCATCCACATGTCACACACACACACACAGTACTACAAACACGCCGTGTCTCTCTGGGTAGGCATTATTTGATCCTGGGAGATGGGCTCCTGACAGGCCATAACATGAAAACTAGCCTCATATCTAAGGCAGTGAATGACAAGACAGCTTGCAAAGTCTATCTATAATACATAGAATAGTAAAACATTTACAGAGGACACCACCACCATGTCGTGCTTCACAGTTATATTATTAGATCATAGGGGTTTGCAGTTTACCGTCATACAACTGTAAACTATAACGGTGCTCTGCCACTGTGTACTTGCAGCCCCACAACCCCTGGTCTTAGGTTATTAAAACCTACAGCCCCCAGCATGCATCTCCAGCTAAGATGCTTCCAACCCTGGCCAAAGACTTTTATCTTCCTCCCCAGCACAGGCATGGCACCTTCGTGATGCTTTCAATTTTCTGCCCTGTGCTTCTGTGTTTTATGGGCCTGTGCAAAGGTTCCAGACTGACTGGCTGGGCTGACCTGAGCTCCCTGCCTGTTGGTGGATGTGCTGTGGTTGGGGTGACATCAAGGCCACTGGCCAATCAGGGAGAGGGCCGTGCGGCATCATCAGTCAACCACAGAACACCAGACACCCCACCCACAGACACCCAGGAAGACATCATGTTCCACACATGCTGGCAACACATGCACTGCCCTCAAATACAAAGAGTAATCATAGCACACAGCACCAGGCTGGGGTGACAGTTGCTTTAGTCCAGAATATTATGGCTCTTTATAAGGCCCATTTGTTGCTTTGAACCAAAAGCAGATTTTCACTGGCACAAAGGCTCGGAGCCAGTCTTTGTTTTTGTTCCAGTTCCTGTGAAAATGTGTTATGCAAAGCTGAAAGAGAATTGAATTTCCATTCTAAATTCAAAACCTCTGAGTACCTGTACAGATAGATGGATGGAATAACAACTGCTATAGAGTCAGAGCATCTAGGTCTTCTTCTGTGTTAAACAGCTAATGTTAAACACCAGGAAAAGGCCACACCTTCCTCTCTGAATGTCCGGTCTTCTTCCATTCATACATTAATTAAGCTCCATCTTCCATTTGCTCTAAATGGCTATTTATTGCATCAGTGACCCAGATAAGATTTATTATATCATCTGAGCACATTAAATTTCTTTGAAAAAAAACTTTATTAGTACGTGTTGTTAGTTTTATTGGAGATATGAAATGGGGTTGGGATAACCAAATAAATAACAGGTGTTCCTTCCTGTGAGCATCCATCATTCAGTGAGCACACACTTCCCACAGACCTCTACCTCCCATGGCTGCATTTGCTTTTGCTGCCTCTTGGCACTGCACGGATCCAAATTAAATCAGCACTTGGACTGAAACTCTCTGGACTTGGCTTTTTGTTCAGGTGCAAATACAAGGTTGATGGGGAGGTAATTCAATAAGAAGAATTTAAAGCAACTGTTAGACAGATGATGGCCCAGTCCCATACTGAAAGAGCAGCTGTCCCCCAGGTCCTTTAGGTGTCTCCCTCCCTGGTGTGTGATTGGGTTTAGCTCATGTATTTGTATCCGCTCATAGTGGGCTGAGAGGGCAGGTGCAGGTCCCTGTAAAATCCTTCCTCATACCCCGGGCCTCTCGCACTATTAAATCTAAATCCCATGTGGGGTATGAAGCAAGGATAGAAGAACCTCGCTCTCCTGAAAGGCTTGAATAGTAAGCAGAGGTTTTCCCTGTGTAGGGGAATATGGTGTGATGCATTACACCTCTCTACCCAGCACCCATAGCCCACCGCTTAGCTGATCTTTGAAAGATATTGCTTATAAAAGAGATGACTCCAGGCGACGGCCAAGTTCTGTAGTTTTATTACACATTGGGGCTACCATGGCCTGTCTTTGGAGAGATAAGGTTGTACCCTTTTCATTTTGTATCCTCTGGCCGATATTTTAAGCTGGCTTGTTAAGGGCAGGCGAGCTGAGAGCTGGAACAGAGTTTGATGCATGGCTTTACAACAGGAGCCGGGCCCATAATGCTCAAAGGCCGATCATTACTGACCTTAATAGCCCAGTCTGCATCTGGGCTTGATTGATCGTGCCTAGCAGGTTGTGAAATGTGCCATCTGGAAGGAAGGAAGGTGAGATGGGCAAGCTGAGACGAGGGAGCGGGCAGGCAACACCAGCCGAGCGTGGAAGAAGGGAGGAGAAGAAGAGAGCAAGAGGAGAGGGGAGAAAAAACAGAAACCTAGATGATCTTGTGCAGAAATTGATGGCCATAGTGGGATGCTGTAGAAACTTAACTGCACTAAGAGGCCCACCAAGCACCATAAACACTGTCCCTGACATAAACAACAACACTTAGCCAGACTAGGTGTATACAATATTCATCTGTAGAGCCGCTGCTTGCTAAATGTTGTTTACTTGCTCTGTGCACTGGACAAAATCAGCACTGCTGAGGTCAGACAGCATGATGGTGAAGTAAGTGTGATGTGTGAATAAGTGTGATTTTGTATAAATGTGTTTCCTTGAATGTTTGCACAACTGAAGCTAAAATATCATTAGTTTGCATAAAAACAAAAATGAAACAAAACGACCTGCTTTTGAATAACACAAGATTAACAGTAATGCCATAGCCTTCAGAAGTACCTTTTTCCTGTTGAAAGCCCGTCATCTAGCTGTATCCCATACAAAGTTTATGCATAGTAAGTGTATCACTCAGACCATTCATGCACAATGAAATTTTATTGTTATAAATATTTAAATTGGCAGAATACTGTGGAGCAGCCCTTTCATGTCAGCTGAAGCTCCTGAGAGCCCATCACGCTCGTGCTCTCCATTACTATAGTCTCCTCTCTATCAGTCAGCATTGGTAGCTACAGCAGAGCGAACTAATGTGTATCTGGTACAAAGAAAGGACTCTGACAGGCTCCTTTTTGCACTTCATTAGACCAATTATTTGGCTTGCTGAGTCATTTGAACCAAATCAAGAGAGTTATGATAAATGCAGAGAGCATTAGACCACACTGTGACTTTCACAACATGCCCAAATCTTTGCATTCTGCATACGACACCATCACCAGGCAACACACCATAACTCGGGTGTGTAAAGGTGTTTAACAGCAAATGCTGTAATCAGCACCACAAAATGTCTTCAGGGCCAACTTTACATGTGGGAAGCTAAAACATCTGGTATCAGGTACATTAGGAAAAAGAACAAGGGAGACAAAAGAGGAGGGTAAGATAACATACACTATATATGTGTGTGTGTGCTGTGCTTACAATACCTGTGCCAGTATGCATGCCTGAGAAAGATCAAGACACTCAAGCCTACAGTCTGTGCATGTGTGCATAAAATTTTACGAGCGAGTTTGTGCGAGCGCACTTGAGCGTGTGCATGTGTGTGTGTGAAAGGGGAAAGGGATGACAGAGGGCCAGGTGGAACGGAGACTTCTGTCGCTGACTCAACACCTTTCTCATTTTATTACTAAATCATCCATGACAAACAGCTCTGGCGTTTGGCAAAGGTGAAGCAGGCAGGATAAGAGCTGGGATGAGAGCAGAGGAGGTCACCTCAGTGCTGCAAACAATGCATTGGTAATGTAACATGTCTGTGTCACTTCAAATGTCACCTTTACATGATGCAGTCATCCATGTGTCATTTTTTAGACACGCCGGGGTGACAGTCATGGCCCCTGCTTCCTATAGGCTCACACCATCGCAACACAAAAGGCCATCAACGGAGAAATTTTATCACCTGAGTGACTACCAAAAGAAAATGCTTGGTGACAACACAATCAATAGAGCCTGTAAAATATGAAGCAATCATTCTTTGTGAACATTCAAAATCAAGTCAACCATAATAATAAAAAAATATTTTGACAACGCTAAAATGGGAGCGCTGTGTATAAAATCTATATATATATAACAAGATACGGGTTCAGTTAGTGTTTATAAAACACCTTCACCAATAAAATAAATAAATGCAGAAATCACGCGTAGCCTTTTTTTTTTTTAAACCTTTTTTAACCCTTATCTGTTGCTGATGTTGGGTTGAGCAGATGTTGTTTGGGCAGCTCAGTGCTGGAGAGGATGGATAGAAGGCAGGCCTGGCGATCTTTGATGTCAGTGAGAAAAGCCAAAGCCTTCTGCAACTATGTGAGAGGGAGCAGATTAGCTTGATTGACGGCCATGAGATGCTAAGGATGGAGCTTGAAGCACAGCAAGTCAGGGTGTTGGACTGGAATGGAGTTCATTCATGAGTTACGAGTCTGTTTCAGTGATGTAGTAAAAGACAAATAAATCTTCCTAACAGCCTGTGGAAAAAAAAAACACCTTCAGCTTGTGATGGAGACTCATACAAGATAACAGGCAAGAAGACTGAGACACTGGCGACTGACACACAGTATGCCAGAAAACCTAACCACAAATCAGCACAAGATATAGTAAACAGCAAAACATACACATCAAACTGCCATAGCACTTCAAACAACTTTGTTTTCCACAGATTTTTGTATTTTACAGTCAAGGCAGCACTGAAAACAGACAGAGTAGCCCTCCTTTGTCAAGTTTATTTTTCAAGGAGATATTCCCCACTTAAGAGGCCAAGGGAGCCAGAGTGAAGTCCTGGACAGACAGGGAGCATACTGATATAAATACCAACACAGCTAAGAGCTCTTATCTGTCTCAGAAAGACCCAGACCTGCAAGGACAAATGACCGTCCTGACGCTGTCCCAGAGTCCCTGAGCTAAAAGAGGCCGGGTTAAGGTTAAGAAGACTTCTGCACCAACCTCCACCAGGCTGCACGAACAAAGTGATACTTCTCCTCTCATGAGAAACGTAAGCTTGAGATAACCTATTTTACATACACACACTGTCATAATGCAGGTACTGTAGCATTAAGGATTTTGACTGAGGCAGAAAATAATGAAATTAAGTGGCTCAGGTTTTACATGCACATTAGGTTCAAGTAGCTACAAATCTAATTAGCTTTCAGGTGTCAGTGAAGGATGTTCCTTGACTTCCTGTTTATTTGAAGACTGACTGGTGTAGAAGCTCCCAGTGGAGACCATGTGTAAGGGATTAACATGTCACCACAGAAGGGGGAACACAGACATTTTGACAGTTACACTCAAGAGCTGAGGCTTCATCTAACACCTGCTTCACACCTCCTGTCCTGATGCACACCTGTTCTGACACAGTGTGCAGCTCCGAGTCATTCTTGGAGCTGTGCTTACACCTGTCCAAGCCTCACTACAACACACTACGACAGGGGAGGAATGAGAGGGGCTGAGGATCAAGAAAATCAAGGAAAGAGGAAGCTGCAAAAATAAGAAATTGATGGAAATTTCTTGTGAAGAAGCTGGGTTGGCGTAATAGCAACGCCTGAGCACGCTCAGCAGCGCTGTAGTGTCAGAGTAACATTGATGCATGGTGTGACCTTACTTGTAATGCCAGCCTTAATCTACGCAAGTGGAATAAATGAAGTGGGGCCGCTGCGGACGTGTCACCCAGACTTATAAAGACAAATCCACCGCCGCTCTGAGCTGTGTACATGTATTCATAAAAGTCAGAGAGATGTCTCGACAGAGTGGAGCACCCAGTATTGTTGGCTGGCTGGCGACAAACATGTCCAACATCACGGCTGTCATGGCTGCGTGGAGCTGTCCATCATTAGATGAAACACGCAGGATAGGGCTGTAGGTTAAGGGGGTGTCCAGGTGAAAAATAGATGGCAAAAAAAAAAAAAAAACGTCAGATGGAAAAAATTTAAGAAAGTAAAACACAAAAGACATTAAGGGGTAATATGTAAGTTAGCTGTTTTGCTATAGAGTAATTCAGCTGTCAGTTCACTACAAAAAGACGTTTCCGTTACTTAATTTGAGTTTAGCTAGGTGTACCTAAAATGTCAACTGAGTGTATACATGACTCTGTATATTCCAAAACATGTAAAGTTACACACAAAACATGAGGATTATCAAAGATGCTACACAAGTGATTAATCAAAATTAAAATTAAAAAATGTATCAAAGATTTTCAAACAATTAACTGTGATCTTTTCACAAAAGGGGAAGCTGTTTCAAATCTTAGGTCTTGTCTTCATGGCAAAAACACTTTATCTTACTAAAACTTGGAACAGGAGCTGGGAACGAACCTTGTGAGGTGCTTGAGGATTCTAGCAGTACAACATATATATCGTTTTATGGCATTTACTTAAAATAATCAACACAGAGGTATGTATCTTTACTAGAGAATCCTCTCCCTGAGCTTGTGTGAGTGTTTGAAAATGATTTGTGTGGACAGTACTTGAACCTCACTTGTTTGAAAGAGAACTGCCTTATTGCAAATCCCAGTGTGCTGACACTAACACAACTTGTCATAACCTCTCATTACAGTTTAACGGCAGATGTTGTGACAAACAATGTTTTAGGTTGGCTGACTGGCTGTCAAGTTATCTGCAGTCAATTCATACTTGGCTGGCTTTATTGGCATGGGAGTATGTCAACAATTCAATGTCCACTATGAGGCTTGCTCCTCCTCCCACTCTCCCGCTGCCCCCTGTCTGCTTCTCGCTCTGACATGGCTGTGATTAATGCCTCCAGCCAAGATGATGACAATAATGATCATAATTAATCAAGGGTTCCTCCTGCACTTCTAAGAGCCTACAGTGACCTGGAAAAGGCACCAGGACCTCTATTCCCCTGTTCTCTCCCTTCCTCTCTCTCTCTCTTGTCCTCCCTTTCCTCCTCCCTTCTTCCTCATCTCTCTGACAGGCCTGAACCTCGGCCCGGCAGAAAGAGCCATGCATTATCCTGCCATCACCACTTCTATTTATATCACACCGTCCATCACTATCACTTACTCTCCTCCACCCGCTTTTCCTCCGCCTCTCCAAAGTGGAATTTTCTTAAAGCTGTCCCATATTTCCTGATGGAATAACACTGCCTATGCAAATGGCTGGGAGTCAAAGAGGCATCCTAGGTGACAGTGAGAAACTAACATCATCATTCTTTAGAAACCCACGGAAACAACGTCCAAAACAAAAGCCACCACCTCTTGCTGCCTGAGGCCAGGTAGGAGTCTCCCTCTCTCTCCCCTCTGTAGTATATTCCTGAAGGTTTGACAGACTGTGTGTGTGTGTGAGAGAGAGAGAG